GGTGAAAACCCTTCTTGGTTGGCCAAAATTACTGGCAATTTATTGATCTATCTCATCCTTGTCCTGCACCGACTGCTGTCACCAAGTATATTTTCTGCTGTCAATCATGTTGATCACTGTCATGGCACCCGGAGTTCCCCAAAACACTTCAGATGCATGGTAAAAAATAAGCTGTGCACCCTTAATCTGGTAAGTTAATAAATTACGGGCAATGATCATATGAACTGTCCCAGTGAAGTGATCAGGGGAACTCCAGGGAACAGCTGACAATCTCTCTCTCACTTTTGTGGTTTCTTGGCAAGGCAATGTAGGGAAATTAATTACTATGCATAACAAAACTTGTAGCAAACTGGCCTATAATCTCTTTCTTACATTGTTGCGGTTTCTGGCATGTAGGAAAACCATTAGATTAGAAACATGATATCCTCAGACTTCTATTGATGATGAACCTGGTCAGTATTGCGGGAAAATGAGAGGGAGGGAATATTGTTCAAATACACTCAATGAGTGGTCACAAGCTCTCCCCATGGCCATACCTTTTCCATTCTTGCACATACATCCTCTTCGGTCACTTTCATCGCATAATATTTTTAGGGTCTATGAATTAAAAACAAAATCTTCAACATACACTTGCAAATTTTGGTGCAAAAGCTATATAGCTTGCTATAGTACCTTAAGGAACTCTAAGACTCACTCCAACCCTGCCCTATAACCTAAAATTCCCCTTCCTTCCCCCTCCCCAACCAAAAAAAAAACCAACCTAATCCATGGCCTAAAACTAACCTAAAGCCTAAAACTTAATCTGAGGCCAAATACCGGCCCAACTTTAGGCTACAAAGCAAAATGAACCCCAACAAATGAGACTGAAATTGGGACTATGAAGCCCACTACCCAAAACCTAAATGGCTACGCGCTGCACGAGCTAGGCTTTTTATGCAGCCCAACCAACCTACGTGGGGTTGTTCCTCTGAGTGTCAGACAATTATGTATCCCAACGGCTACTTTTCTTCATCCAGTAGCTAGATTTAAATGGGCCGTTGGTTAATCCAACGGTCCAGGTTCTTTTTTTTTTCTTTTTTCTTTTTTATATATATTTATATATTTATTGAATCCAATAGCTTAAATCGAATATAATCAAATCTAACAGTAAAAAAAAGATCTAACGGTCTAAATTTAAATCCAACGGCTAAAATAATTTAACTTAAAATTCAACCAAAAACTCTATAAATACCTATGTATTTGTTCAAACATCCACACATAACTCACTTTTCTCCTACAATTCTTCCAATTTTTCTTTCTACCATTTCTTCTCATTTCCAAATTTTTCAAGATGGCAAAAGAGCATGTTAGAGGTCGTAATTGGACCCTTGATGAAGATATTGCTTTATGTTTGGCATGGATTTCTGTTAGCGAAGATGGTGTCGTCAGCACGAATCAAAATAGAAAGGTTTTGTGGGGTAAAATCGTTGATAAGTTCCATGAAAACTCCAACGCCAGTCGAAGGGAAGCTGGTGGTGTTCATGATCGGTGGAAGATTATCAACAAAGCGTGCACTCTATGGAAGGGAGGCTTGGAAAGAGCCATGGATGATATGCCTAGTGGAAGGGGGGCCTCAGAAATTGTGAGTTTCTTTGTTGATATTTTAGTTGTCATGTACATAATAGTATTTTGCAACTACTTGTTTTTATGTATTTGTTGCATAGGGTGACAAAGCAATGGCAATTTACAAGACAAGAACTACACCAAAAAATCAAGCTTTTAAGTTGCATCATGCTTGGAACATCCTCAAGGATTGTCCAAGGTGGGGAACCGATGCAGACCAACAATAGGGAAGATCGTGAAGCCCCATTCCCAAATGAAGTCAATGAAGGTGTGAATTTTGCCGACAATGAAGGTGTCGAACAAATGACCCCAACTTCTTCTTTTGCAAGGCCCCCAGGTAGTGATAAGCAAAAGAAAGCAAATAGAAAAGGGAAGTCCCAAGATCCGATACGTGCACAACTTGCTAGCGGATTTGCAAGTACGAACGAAAACCATATCTCTCGGCAAGAAGAATCGGGCCAAATGTGTTTGACCATGAAGGAAGAAGGGGATAGGGAGCAAGAAAGGTTCGAAATTAATTTGATGGTGGAGGACTTCCACAAATACACTCAAGAGAGGAAGAAATACTTACATAGTAAGCAAAAGGACATTTTACAAAGGAATGCCACAAGGAGTATATTTCAAGATGATGATTCATCTCAAGACTATCACCCAAGTCCATCACTAAGTCAAGATGGTGGATATCATTATTAAGTTTATATAGTTTATGAGTTTTCGATTATATTAAGTTTATGTGGTTTATTAAATGTTGTTTGTATTAAGTTTATGTGGTTTATCATGATTTTCATGTATTGATTTAGTAATTTTTCAAAATTTATCGGAATTTAAATATTTTTAGGTTAAAATGTTCATAAAATTAATTTAGGATAGTCTACATTTTTTTTTAAGTTAATTTAAAAAAAATAGGCTTAATTTATTTTTTGATAATCTTTGGCTAAAATTTTAGGTCAGAAGGGTTGGAGCAGAAAAACTGTTTCTGAGCTAAAACCTAAATTTTCTGGGCTAAATATTTTTAGGTTTTAGGTCAGGGTTAGAGATGATCTAAGCGCAAGTTAGTTCGATATATAATGATGGAATAACGGATCTATCACACATCATAGCAATTTTTCTTGTCCTAAATTATGATCATCTTAAGCTAAGCTAAGATTTGTTTATAGGTAGAAGACGAAGGAATTCGCGTGTGGGCCACTTGGAGAGAATTTACAGTGCTTACCATACAAGCTGGTATTCTAGGTTAAGAATAAGAAGCCCTTTGTCATGATCACATGCCCCCAGCATGTACTAGATTTTGGTAAAGATACCTGAAAACGAATGGCCTTGGCCTCTCAATCTCATCACAGCCTCAAGATTCTTTTCCTTAATTACGTGCATACCTCAAATTCAATTTAATCCACACTTCTGTCTAGGTTCACTGCTCAATACTACTAGTGTTATGTCGTCCTCTCCAGGATCACTACTCAAACATAACAATTGTTGCAGCTTACCACTATACACTAGTAGAAAAACATGTTTGCGCGACGGATCAACTTTCGTCGCGCAAAGTATTTTTGCACGACCTAAAACACAAAACGTCGCGCAAAAGGTATTTGCGCGACGGAATTTTGCGCGACAAACAATGGCGTCGCGCAAAACAGCTTTGCGCGACGCATCAGATCATGCGTCGCGCAAAGGTGTTTTGAGCAGCGCCATCGTTTGTCGCGCAAATTCCTTTTGCGCGACGTTCAATACGTCGCGCAAAGTCCTTTTTTTTTTCTTTTTTGGCCTTTTCCTTTTTTTTTGGGATTCTTGCATTGCCTTTTTCTTTTGTAGTATCCACTTGTGTAAATGTTTTAAATTGACGATCGAATCAGTTCATTGTATTCATATAGGGTTAAACAGTGGAGCTGTAAAAAATCATCAAAATCGGAGTTAATATAACCGTTAAATCGTAATTTTTCGTTTATAGCCGTCGAAAAGGTTTGTCCCGTTGTTTAATCTCTACACTCTTGTTTTTTACAATTTTTGGCGTATGCGATCTCAAAGCATATACAAACAAGTTTGACGGTTGGATCGTTGAAACTAGTTTTGTACAATGCGTATCCCATCAAAACATTAGATTCACTAACACTTGAGGTTTATTTATACTTTCATTAAGTATAACATAATATTTTGTAGTATCCACTTTTGTAAATATTTTAAATTGAAGATCGAATCAGTTTGTTGTATTCATATAGGGTCAATGAGTGTAGTTGTAAAAAATCATCAAAATCGGAGTTAATATAACCGTTAAATCGTGATTTTTCATTTATAGCCGTCGAAATGGTTTGTCCCGTTGTTTGATCTCTACACGTTTGTTTATTATAATTTTTGGCGTATACGATCTCAAAGCATATACAAACAAGTTTGACGGTTGGATCGTTGAAACTAGTTTCGTACAATGCGTATCCCATGAAAATATTAGATTAGCAATGTGAGGAGTAGTCCAATTTGGATAAGAGAAACTTATAAGCTCTACACCTATCAATTTGGATAAGAGAAACTTATAAGCTCTTACACTCTACCGCTTATTCATAAAATCAATTAGCAATGTGAGGAGTAGTCCAACCTCTTATAAGCTCTTACAAAATTTCTCTCTTTTACCTTCACATTCTCACATGTTGAATATCTACTTAAATTTTGTTGAGAAATTGGGGCGGAGGAAGGCTTGCCGTGTGGTGGGTGGACCGTGTAGGGATATTGGGTTGAATTTCTTCTTTTCCTTCATTACTTGGACATAATCATTACTTCCTATTACAATTATTAAAGTTAATCCAATTAACTAAAGTTGATTTGAATGTGATGATGATGGAGATATTTGCATAGGTGATAGAATCTTGCTGACAACTTTCGATATTCAGATGGAATTTGCGTAGGAATGGGACGGGTGGCACTCTTCTTCTGCTTCTCTCAGGTTGAAGAAGATTTCTCAAGCAGTCCTTCAACATGGAACAATGTGTTTGTACGCTTCTGATTAAACACAAAAAGGAGTCCTTCAACATGTAACCGGACATGAAGCATTTGTCACCACTTGGATGATTGTGTGAGCCCTTCTTCCATTTTTCCCTTTTTCTTTCCCTCTTTCCCTCTTTCCCTCTTTCCCTCTTAATCTAATAGACCACTTAATATAATTAATAGACCACTTGATTTTCCCTCTTTTTTTCCCTCTTTCCCTCCCGTATAAACCTCTTTCCTTCTTCCCTTTTTCCCTTTTTCTTTCCCTCTTTCCCTCTTTCCCTCTTTCCCATATATTGAATCCGAATTTGATTTTTAAGACTCATCTTTCTCCCTCTCGTTCGCAAGGCAGTGACGCCAAACTCGAAGCCGACGCAAATTAAGTGTATAGATGTTGCATTTGATCACTCGTCGTCGGAGCGTGACCAATGCGCCTCCTACACCCCTTACTGAGGCTACTCCTATGGGGCCCCAGGTGCCTGTCTCATCGACGTCATCAGTATCCATTCACCCGCTCAGTGCACGACGACCTCACCGACGTCGTCGTGAGCCGGACCCTTCTGATCACACTTCCGCAGCATCCAGAGTCGAGGGTGAGGCCTCCCATCCAGGTAGTTTTTTTTCTAATTCTTGATGACTACGTTGTATTTTTTTTTTTCATTTTAAAATTATTATTTTTATGATGCTAAAAATTTGTTGGATTGTGAAATGCTATACTATTAGGGGAAGTTATGTTGGATTGTGAAATGCTATATTATCATTTTGGGAAATGCTATACTATTAGGGGAAGTTATGTTGAATTTTTTGTGAAAATTTAAGCTTTGGGTTTTCACCATTTAAGTATTTTTGGCCAGTTAAAAAAAAAACTAGGGGGCCTAGTCGAATGCTGAAGCCGGCACAGAGTGTACGTTTGACTGGCTCCAAGATCAAGATTGAGTATGACCCAGTACATCGTGGAGCGGCTACAGCTCAACAACATAGCATCATCGCTAGTAGCTGTGGTGTTGTTATTAAACAAATTTGTCCTATGCAGTGGGAGAAATGGGCAGAAATTCCAGATTGGACGAAGGATTTGGTGCGAGACAAGTTGTCGGTTAGTATATTAATTTTTAACCTTTAACTACTTGGTTCTGCATAAAAATATTGTTCTTCTTGATGTTCTGTATATTCATTTTGACTCACTGGATTACTTAGGTATGTATCGAATCTAGTAATGAAATTAAATCATCCAACTCTTGTATCTCGTTATTTAATTCATTTTGATCTATTATATTTCTTACTATTATTTTATTGTTTTTCATATTCGTAGGTAATTTTCGATCTTGATGATATATTTCCCGAGGTCAAGGCCTACTTAGATGAGACCTTAGCAATCCGGTACAAACATTGGAAGAACTATCTTCACACGCATTTTAAGCTATGGGATACTCCGGAGATTGCTCGCCTACATGGTTGCCCAAGCGAGTTGAAGGACCGGCCAGAGGATTGGGAATGGCTTTGCAAACATTTTACGGACCCAAAATTTGTGGTATGTACATAATATTTGAATAATAATTTATTATTGTTTTAGTTATTTTTTAAATCTTTTTTTATTAATTTATTTCAAATAGTTGCATTAACATGTATATTGTGTGTTTAACAGAAGAAATCTGTTGCTGGCAAGATAGCTCGGGAGTCAAAGACACTTCTCCACCATTCTGGTTCGAAGCCCTTTTCATATAGGCTTCAGACACGACGTCAGGTAAAAGTATATTAATTTAGAAATTTTATACAATTTATTTATTATTATTGATTAATAAAATTTTCTTAATGTTTTTTTTTCTTTCTTCAGGAGGGTTCTAAGTTCCCAGAGATCGACATGTTCGAGGACGTTTACGTTCGACCTGGAGATGAGACCGCTGGGCAGCTTCATGTAAGTATATGTAATTGTTATTATTCTTATATGTATGAATCTTTCAAATATTATTTATATATATGTTTTTTCTTTATTATTACAGGCTCTTATGGTGGAAAAGAGCACTACTGTTCTCCAAGAAGCAACATCGCAACTTCCCCCGGAGACCCCAATTGAGGATGTCACAGTACCTGATGATGCAGGTTTTCAGATTTTGACTGATGTCCTAGATCAGAACTTCGGTCGTCGTCACGGCAAGGTTGTTCGGTGCATGGGGAAAGCACGACTTCGTGAGACTGGTGCCTCTTCTTCCAGATCAAACACCACAGAGGTCGATTCATTGAAGGAGGAAGTGATAACCCTAAAGGGTCAACTTGAGGTCCAGGGCGAGCAGATGAGGGCCCAGGGTGAGCAGATGAAGGAGCAGATAAGGGCCCAGGGCGAGCAGCTGCATACTTATGACGGACAGATGAGAGATCTTATACGAGCCATACAGATGACCGGCCTCCAAATCTCACTACCAATACCTGATCTTGCTACACCTTCAACCTCCGAGCCACTTCACCCTGTCGATACCCAGTAGCCACTTCACCTAGAAGATTACTTGTAGTTTTTTCTTTTTTATTTGGACATCTTGTATGTACATTTTCATATATTGTATAATTAAATACTTTTCTTTGGTTAATTAATTATTATTTAGAATTTAATTACAATATTATTAAAAATTAAGAAAGTAATATTTTTTACCAAAACCAAATTTCCACTTTGCGCGACATACAATACGTTGTGCAAAGCATGTTCCCAAGTTGCGCAAAGTATCTTTGCGTGACGTAGACTGCGTCGCGCAAAGTATCTTTGCGCAACTTGGGAACATGCGTTGCGCAAAGACACTTTGAGCGACTATAGTCTACGTCGCGCAAGGATCTTGAGTGACGTAGGTTGGGTCGCGCAAAATACGTCGCGCAAGATCCTGAGTGACGTAGGTTGAGTCGCGCAAAATACGTCGCGCAAGGATCTTGGGTGACGTAGGTTGAGTCGCACAAAATACGTCGCGCAAAGACACTTTGCGCAACGAAGCCTTTACATGCGTCGTGCAAAGAAACTTGCGCGACGGATGTTGAGTCGCGCAAAATACGTCGCGCAAACTGTCTTTGCGCGACGATGGGGTTACTTGCGTCGCGCAAAGCCTTCTGTCACTGCCTTGCCGCGACGGTTTGTGCGCGACGTTTTTTTACTTTGAGCGACGTTTTTTGACTTTGCGCGACGAAGGACCTGCGTTGCGCAAAGTGTTTTTTGTACTAGTGATATTATATATATAGCTAGCATGCATGGCTTGCATTTCATAATTAAGTACCCAAGCAATCATAAACAGTATGTAGTACGTGGTAAATTATGCTACTGTGCACATACATCTGGAATCAGGTGTCCCCTACAGTTCCCCCGAATACTTCATTAGGATCGATACATAAATTCTTTGAAGGATTGCACCGTCTCTACTGAAGTGTTTGGGGGAACTCCGGGTGTCATTTGATCATATCTCAACACAAATTACCGGAGGTGATGGCTAGGATTTGATTACTACAGTACCTAATTAAGTATACCAACCCTGGTTTTAAGTCAATGTTATTGACTCTCTGCAACAAATATCAATTCTCTAATTGATTATTAGCGTATGCATGGCAGCATAGGGTTTTGGGTTCATTATTAGCATTCTCTCTGTATTCTACTTACTGTTCTCATCTTCTCGAGATCATTAACATGCTATATTGTTTCTCTTGTTTGGAAAAAGGTTAGTTTTCTTATAAATTCACAGCAATTTCCCTAAAATCTTTTCCATCACTCTTCTGGCTTAGTAGCCCAATGAACCATATATATAATACTTTTTCTTCTTAATTTCTTTTGTTTTGTGTTTAAACTCCAAAGGAGGCCTTAGATATACATGTGTCTATTTGCTTCTTTCCATCTCTCATGACAGTTTATACCCTGCTTCTCGGCATAAACATAACATTTTCACCATAACCAAGATGTATATATTTACTCCATATGCTAATTTTAAAAGTAAATAAACGACCTGTTGTCCGTAGAATCGTAAGAACATCTATATATGCCGCCTAATAACAAATGATGAATTTCGAAAGTTTTGTATGGTTCACTCCCAATGGCTCACACTTCATATTCTCATTTGCTTTAGAAATTGTTAAAATTTTTCAATAGTTCAGAACCACGAACGATGGGGAACCATATCCGGCTTACAGGATTAGAAAAGGAAAAATTTGAGACAGCTGAAGTTGGATTAACTCTATTATAATCTTCATCGCCTTCTACTAATTTATTAGAACCGTTTGGTTTGCGTCTTTTCCCTCCAATCTGACCCTGCGAAGTTGCGACCAGACCACCTCTTCCAGCTATAATTTCAGAAGAATTTAATAATCCACTAAGTCCACCAACCAATACCTTTGGAAGTTAAGATCAATATCTATCTCAAACTAATAAGCTGTTTGTTAGAGGCATAGAACTACCATCTGCACATATTATATTTTTATTCATCTCCCAGCTTTTACAGTTGTGACAAGAGAAAAGATTTCTTGAAATAATCGACCACAGATGCTTCTTCCTGAAACTCTGGACATGTATTTGTCCACCTAGCCCACATCACCTGATTAATCATCTTTTACTAGGTTGTATTAATAATACTAATCGTGTTTTATTTATCCTTCTACTTAATTTAATTACCTCCTTAATCTCTCTCTTTCTCTCATCAGCTTCCTCTCACACACTTTTATAAGTACAGTCAATTCGTGTCTTTGGTTCTGGTTCTTCTAGCGTACGTAATCATCATCAGCGGGTCTCATGGGAAACTGCTTGAGGAAACACCGTCGAGAGACAGACTCATCAGTTGTCATTCCTAAACCTCATCCCATTGGTTTGCACTCACAGTGTTAATTTCTGTGTTTTTTTTTTAATGATCTGAAGTTGAATATTTATAGTCAAAATGTTTCTAAAATTAAAATTTTTTTTTTCTTTCTTTTGGGTAATTAAGGAGACGTTGGGTTGAAAATTTCTCTACCCAAGAAAACTAATAAAACAGTTCGAGAGAAAGCTCCAACTGTTTCCTCAACTTCCTTACAAGGTCAAGGTACTTACTAATATCTCATTTTTTGGGTAGTTTGTATAAATTTTCTGTATCCTTCGGTTAATTTTATGTTTCTGGGTCCATGAGAAAACGTGAGAAACGAAGATCATCACTTCAATAGAGGAATTTATCTGTCTCTATAAACACATAGGTATTGTTATTGCATGCATGCATCCCAAAAGCATGCAGTTCCTTTTCCTCTGCTAACCAACAAAACTTTGCTCTCTTCTTCTTTTGTTGATGCGTTTAAGTGCAGAAAAAAACCGTAGCAAAAGTGCAAGGGCCACCACAAACTCCATTACTCCGAGTCCAAAAGATCGGAATTTGGAGAGAGTGAACAAGAAGGACGGAGTGTTGCGAGATTACAAGCTATACTGCTTCTGTTACAGTGCCTTGAAAGCTTCCACACGCAAGTTTAGCAGCAAGAACTTGATCGGGCAAGGCGGATTCGGTGATGTCTATAAAGGGTACGTGAGGTATTGTAATATGAAAGCTGCTGCAAAACCAAGTGAGGGGTTTCCAATTGCTATCAAAAGGCTTAGAAAGACAGCACTACAAGGCGATGAACAATGGGAGGTCAGTTTGTTTTCTCTTTTATTTTTGAATAATCCTTGTACTTCCTCTTTGGGAAATGAGCTTATTCTCCTACTTATAAATAACGTATTTTCATAGTAGAAACTTCGTAATCAAATCCGCTCAATTTCTTAGTCTTCATTTGGACATCATACTTACAAAAAATCATTTCAATTGGAGACCATTTAGTCTTCCAATTCCAATATAGTATTTAGTATCTACACTATTAATTTATTTTATACATTTGAATGACTAAATGATCTTAGATTCGATTAATTTTTTGTATGGATGATCTTCAAATGAAGATTAAGGAATTGAATGGTTTTGGTTATAAAATTTTCTCCCAAGGCGAAATACATATTTCACCCTTCAGGTTTGGAGCAATTTTCAATTTGACAACGAGGTTTTATTTTCTCATATTACACCGTGAGGTTTTGAATTGTTTTAATTTATATCTTTTGGTATATGATCATTCTTAAATGAGTAATGTTAGGTAGACTAATTATTTAGTTCATATTTGCAAATCATGTAATGTGTCATCAATGGAAAATATAAGCACGTTAATTAACACTTAAGTCATAATCTAATCATCAACAACCACTTCATACGGTTAATAAAATATAGTTTAAATAGATGACATCCCTAGCATTATCCTTCTTAAATTGATTTGACATAACAAGTGTGGGATCCAATTAGGAGTTGACATGGAAATCACACTTGCGCACACCCAAACAATTCATCATTGAACTTTAACTTCTCCTCAATCGACAAACAATCACACAATTTAGTCTCACTGATGTGAGTGTGGCTCCTACTCCGCTTAAAAACATGTCTAACGTCTGCAACATCATCAATTTACCGAGTATCATATGGTCAAATTAGAGAAAGACATAAATTGATACAATTTCAAAACATCAGGTGCAACATGTGAAAACTCAAACCCCGTAACTCTTTTGAAATTCACCGAAAATATGGAGGGTGTAAATCTAATTAGCCCTTTTTCACACACGCACTCTCTTTCTTTCAATATCTATCTTTCTGCGTGTGTGAGATTTATGTTGTGGGTGCAGAATGAGAGGAAATTTATGAGCAAAATAAGTCATCCAAACATAGTGAAACTAATAGGGTACTGCTGCGAAGGTGAGCACAGAATGTTGGTTTATGAGTACATGAGCGGAGGAAGCTTGGAGGCCCAACTCATGGCAGAAAATGCGACACGGTTAGATTGGAGGAGAAGAACCAAAGTAGCACTCGGCGCGGCCAAGGCTCTGCATTGTCTTCACACTCGTGGGGCGCCAGTAATTCATCGTGATCTCAAAGCTTCAAATGTTCTGTTGGACGATGTGAGGCTATGTCATCATACTTTTTAACTAGTAATTGTGGAAAATATATACAAATAGAGCCAGTTACGTATCAATATATAATTTTAAGTGAATCATGAGAACACTAAGATGTCAATAAAAGAATACTAAACATGGTTTATATGGTTTGTCGATTTACTGTTCCTCGAGTTCTATTTGTAATCAAAAGTCGTAAGGGTCCTATTCATTTGTATTTGTCAATAATTAATCTAACCTTAAGAAGATAATAAACATTGCAGGACTTCAATGCCAAGCTATCAGACTTCGGCCTGGCAAAATACGGACCCAAAGATGACCAGGACCACGTAATGTCAAGGGTTCTTGGCACCAAAGGCTACATCGCACCTGAGTACATAGGGACAGGTACTCAACCAACCACCAAATATACAACAATTCGTACATACAATTGGTGTATTCAACGTCCCTCTCATCACTTCACGTAGTTGGTGTCACTTTGACCAACTTACATGCGAAGGGCATCTTATACACCTAGCACATGCTGCCAGACATTTCATTTGTCCTAAGGGGTAATTTGGTTTTCATTTTTACAGGGCATGTGACACTCAAAACGGACGTATACAGCTTCGGCGTGGTGCTCTTAGAGATCTTCTCAGGCTCCTGCGCCGTGAAGAAATATTCGGATGGAATGGCTGGTGATCTTACAAAGTGGGCTGAACCATATCTTAGCAACCGCCAACAACTGCATTGCGTGATTGATCAGAGACTCGGAAATAACTTCCCGGTGGAAAAAGCTCACAAGTTTGCTGAACTAATTCTCCGATGCCTCGATTCAGACCCCATGAGCAGACCAACGATGACTGAAGTCGTGGTTGATTTGGAGGAGTTGCATGAAAACACAAGCAGCAATCGGATTTAAGACCATGTTACTGCATTTACACCATGCCCTCCTTACAGAAGGATTTTCCCTACACGAAATGGATGTCAGACATAAAGCTAGGAAGCTGTTTTCCTTCATAATGATATCCTACAATGCGCAAGTGTCCACTAAAACTATATAATGAAAGCAGGGCAACTGTTTGCATGAATTAGCAAATTCTAATTACAGAAAATACAACATTTACGAGAGCGAGAATAGCATGTATTGGCGCCGGGATGATTTGACACCGGCAGTTGTGACGGGATAAGAACATCCGTCATTCTGCAGAATTAAACTGATAGCTAACTTTTTACACAACTACCATCAAGCAGATTACCAATACAATATAGCTACATGGCTTCTGGAATTACAGGCGGTGGTAACCTATTCAGAATGACTCAAAACTGTGAAAAATACATGCCCAAACTCAATTCTCTGTAAACATAATATGGGATCAAACAGGTAATTTACAGACGGAAAAACTCTGTTAACGCACGCGTGGAGATTGCCTTTGGGATGCCAATGGGGATGCATTTGGTGGTACATTGAGAGGAGAACGGTGTTGTCGCATTGGCGACTTCCGAGGAATAGGAAGTGTCTGCTTTTCTGATTGAGAGTTTCTGGCTGCAGTCTTTGGGGATTCAAGTTGTTCCAGCGTTGCTAATACCACTGACATTGTGGGCCTGAGTTTAGATTCGGGGCATAGGCATTGTGAAGCAAGGGTAGCAGCTGTATAAGCTGCTTTCTGGGGATATTGGCCCTCCAACTTGGTGTCCATAATCCGAAATAGTTTTCTTCTGTCACCCAAATATGGTTTTGTCCAGTCTACCAGGTTCTGCTCCGCACCAACTTTCGTTTTATCAACAGCTCGCCTTCCAGACAGTAGTTCCAGCAGTACAACCCCAAAACTATAGACGTCACTTTTAGCAGTCAATCTACCTGTTAAACAGTGAAAATGCATGTTACACATCCACATAAGCATTAATCATGTGTTGCGAACATAGTGAATTCAAGCACTTAAGATTCTCTGCATTGTATCTGCTACAACAATGTAATGAATTTAAGGAACAGATGCAGATAACTAGTGAAGCGGTAACTCTATGCTGAACACCAACTCATACCGAATATTCTCAGTCCCTGCCCTCCGATTACACTACGTCTATCCCTGAACTGTCTACGCGCCACCCCTCCTGCCGAGATGGCGGCACAAATCCAATCTTTTATTAACCTCGAGTCCGCTTCGGCAACTCAAAAGGTTATAATTGACCAGTGCAAAACTATTTTTTTTTGCATTACAGAGACCAGTTTACATAAGTTCCGCCTTAAGGAAATCTTAATGACAAATAATTACAATAATCAAATTTGTTCCGTTCAATTATCATATGCAACTCAAAAGCTTTAACTTTTTCTTTCTCAACCTTGTGAATCAATAGATGAGCAAACTCCAAATGTAAAATCACACTACTTAGTACTTATATATAGGTCTAACGAATCATTCTTCTCTAATTTCACCTCAGAGAAAGTATTGAAACAACCTCTTATTAGTTAGTCAACTGGCACCAAGGTGGATATCCTCTAATCAAAAGGTTAGAGATGACCAATCCGGTTATAGGTAATCTGGTGCAACGTCAAAGAGATAGTTCAATGCAAATTTCGTTAAAATTTATTTTGTACTAAATTCCATAGTAATAGCATATTTAGAGACTCACAATATCAGCTTTCTCAAACAAGATACATTGCATGTACTATTAAAAAGAGTCTATGACTCAGGGATATTTGCCAGCAATCATTGGTCATACATAACAAAAGTAAAACACCAATAATACTGCATATAGACATTAAACAGACCTGTAGCAACATATTCGGGTGCTGCGTAGCCTTGAGTACCCATGACTTGAGTAGACACGTGAGTCCTGTCACCAGTGGGACCAGCCTTAGCCAAGCCAAAATCAGAAAGCTTCGCGTTGAATTCCTGGAACCACAATGCAACATTTATGTCAATGATTTATCCAATCTAAAGATAAGATTATTAAACATGATGAGCTAGTTTCCTCTTTGTTCAACATACCGAATCTAGTAAAATATTGGAAGCCTTAAAATCACGATATATGACTTGTGATTCTGCCTCATGAAGAAAACTGAGCCCCTTTGCAGCACCTATGGCTACTTTCATTCTTGTTGCCCATGAAAGTGGTTGCGGCCCTCCTGTGAAACATATGTAAAAGATCAAAATTACAAAGTTTTCAAGGCAAAAACCAAGGAGTTTCTTCATATTGCCAACGCAACTGTTGTTTATTTGCAAGAAAATAAGCATAAAAGTTAACTTCCAGATAACTTAAAACAATTGTGAGAGGAGGGGGAAGGGAACTATGCTTCCTATTAATGGTAGAAGAATACATCACTTACTTCTAAACAGATGATTCTCTAGGCTTCCTTTTGGCAAAAACTCATACACCAGAAGGCGGTTCTCACCCTCTAAGCAGTATCCGATAAGCTTAACCAGATTTGGATGATGGAGTTGACCAAGATAATTTACTTCTGTCTGAAATTCATTGGTTATCACTACATAAGCCAAGCATGAGAATTGAAACACAACACACATAAAGAAAATTGTTAAGAAGAAACCTACCAACCACTCCTTGTGGCCTTGGAAACCTTCAGGTTTGAGCTTCTTGACAGCAACAACCATTCCGGACCCCGGTTTTGAAGCTGTCATTGTGCTCCCATTAATCCATCCTTTGAAAACATAACCAAATCCTCCTTCACCGAGAAGACTGTCAGGGCGAAAGTTTCTGGTGGCAGTCTTTAGCTCATTGAATGAGAAGGGTTTCAAATTTGGAGATGACAATATTTCACCTTCAGTTCTTGGGGTAGGAAGACTTGAAGCATTGCTCCTTCCACTATACGATGGGACGGTCAAAGTGGAGGGAACTGAGGAAGGGTTAGTTTTGCTGGAAACTTTGGAAACCCCTGATCCTGACAGGTCAAGTAATCAATAATCAACAATCAATTTGGAAACCTACACCAACTAGCATTCCTCAGGAAATGTTATATATAGCACAAATCTACTAGAGTAATAAGACACTTAAGCAAACTAATCGATTCAAAATTTTAGAGGAACAAAATGAAACGATTGTGTAAATTCTTTTAATGACTTCTAAGAGGACCGATGTAAACTTGTCGATCAAGGTACAGGGTTTTGAGTGATCAGGTGGCCTCAAAGAAAGATACCAGCTGGCCCGGTTCACAAAACACCTTAAATTAAGCATCTTTGCTCGATGTTCCAATGATCACTAGTATATGATGAAGTGGAATTTTGTGGAGCATAGAAAAAACAAAAAACCTCTGTTTTCGTACAAAGGACCACCATACTTTTCCCCTGAGGCCCCAATTGTCACTAAAGTCTTTGATTCTACAGATCTTAGCGTGCCATTAACGCCCATCCTTCACGTGATTATCGTAAAGTACAAAATGAATGTTGAAATCACTTTCACAGTTTGCCCCCATTTCAGGGCAAAAACAAACCGAGTAAAATTGTAACAGTTATCAGCTAAAAGATTACTAAAAGCACATTGCGCATCACCAAATAATGACAAAAATATCTAAAGCTGTCTTCAACGCGTTCTGTATTCTCCTCAAAAAGGCAAAATATCCTATTTCTTTGCAGATTAAAGAACTGCTTAACAATGGAAAAACCCCGGAAATTTTTCCATCTTTCTAAATGATATTCAAAACCAATAATCCATTGCAAAAACAAAGAATTAATAACTAACAGAAAACAAAAGAAGAATAAATTAACCAATCTCCAGAAATACAGAGACAGAGACTTGTTTCAATACATAGCAGAATTTGCTCCAGAGATGAACTAAGCTACCCAGAATCCAAAAAAAAAAAAAAAAAAACCACCCTCTAATTCAATAAAAACCAACCAAACCCACCAAAATTTTACTGCTTTAAACCAATAAAAACTCTCAGAAGACACTAAATATACCCATCAAAATACAAGACCAGCTGATGAAAATTAAGGTATTTTTTCAAAGCAAAGCAATTGAAACTCACCCGAAGTTCCAAAGGAGCTATGTGCGGTATTAACTTTAGCAGAAGAACCGAAACAGTTGCCCATTTGCTACTCCAAAAGCTCACAGGCGCTCTCTTTTTACTTTCTCACGACTTTTAACAAGCACAAGATAAATAATCAGCAAGCCATGGCAAAAAAACCTGAATCCGTGTAAGAAACTGCAGCTGACTTGTTCTTCTTCTGGGTTCTCTTCGATCGAGCTCAATTTCTAGGAAAAAAAATGAAATTAGAAAATTGGGAGGGGAGGAAGAAGGAGAAAGAGCGGCGAAGGTGAGAAATGGAAACTGAGAAGAAATTGGCAGAGGCGGGGGAATGAGTGTCTGTCTTGGCTTCGTCTTTGGCTAAGAGACGCGACAAACGTGTGGAGGCACGCTGTTAGCCAATGACGTGGTCTACCGTCTACACCTTTGCTCGTGTGTGAATTCCCTTGTGTACCCCGTGTACTGTGGACTTGTAGTTTGTCAAATATCGATTGCATTAGTTTGAATGACGAAAGTACCCTTGTATGCTTCCATCGTACGTTGTCATGTGCATGAATGCTTCATTGGTAACACGAATAAAGGTTCCGAGATTGATCAACAAAGATGGCAACCATTTGATTAGATTTTTTATAATGTCAATTGATGATTGGTTAATGTCAATTCAATTGAGATTTCGAGGGATTTTAATTTTTTTTAATAAATCAATGAGTATTCAATCAAAATTTAAAGTGATAATCTGAAATTCAACGCATAATTAATAAGGATATAATAACAGTTTATTACAATCCTTATCAATACGGGTGTATTCAATTAGAAAGATTTTATGGTATAATTTGAACATTCACATACAAACCTCACATCTCCCTATGAGATTTTAAAGGAATATCACGATTTTACATGAAATCTCTACAAATTAATTAAACTCGATTATAAATCCATCA